TCTTAATAAATGCTTTTTTTAACTTCTTTACAGGAGATGGCCACACTGAAGAGTTCTGTGGAGGCATTTTTCTGCTGGGTGCAAACAGCTGGTGTAAATGTCGGGTGCGAAATAATATTCTTGGCTTTGAACATTTCCTGCCAGAGTAGTCCACATTTGATGAAGAGGTATCAGTGGAGATAGGTGTCCAATGGATTACTGTTATTAATGAGCCGCAGACTGTAATTAAGACGTATATGGAGACATCACCTAGGTGTCCATGCATGATTTTGTTTGTTCTGCAATGTAGCCATGTTTCTCAGAGGGATGTAGAAACATTTGCACATCTTCAGCAGATGTTCGGAAAGAAAATGGAGGAAAATACTCTTGTAGTTATGGTCAGTAGCAATGAGAAGACATCAGCAAGGCCAAACAAAGTAGCAAATGATAACCTGGAACGGGTTCTCTATCAAAGTGGAAGGAAAGTGTGTGATTTTAACAAAAATTTGAGGCAAAGTGACTTAATCAAACAACTTATGACATGTTGGAAGAGTGTGCCTAATTTGCACATATACAAGCATGAAAGGTAAGACTAAAAATCTGAGTTTATCCTCATGATTGTATCCATTCCAGAAACAACGTATCGATTGATTCATTTATTTTCTCCTCAACTGCAGCTCATCCCTGTCTGTGGAAAGGGAGACATGGAGACCACAGGAAGCAATGACACAAGAGCATACATCAGGTAACATCCATTATTATATTATAACCTATTATTCAAAATAATAACCAAAATATAATATGCATTTCTATCATACTATAATTCCACATTAAGAAAGAATTTTCTAGACTTAGAGGAGAACTTTTCACATAATAAGAGAAAACCGTCAACAATTACTTCCAAGACTATCACAAGTCTTTCTCACAATTTCAATAAAATCTCAGCTAAATGCTTTCGCCCTAGTGACATATTTAAATCAGTTCAATACGTAACACAAAAAAAAATTCTAAATTTAAAACATAAAAACATATATAAGTTCCATGAGAATAGAGATAAAGTGATAGCGCTGCACTGGTATTGAACTTTCCTGGAGTCCAGTGAAAAAAGTGCTGGGTGAAAAAATTACTCTTTTGGACCTATTTTACAGTTTGTGTGTTAAATTTCTTTTGCTATTTTATTTTTTTATTCAAGGAGGTAACCATGCTGCTATCAAGAGGAACAACACTTTAACCATCGTGCTTCTGGGACAGACAGGAAGTGGAAAGAGCTCCACCGGAAACACCATCCTGAGAAAACACCATTTTGAATCATATGCCAGTTCTGTGCCGGTAACACAGATGTGCCAAATGGCAGAGGAAACTGTTTGTGGAATCAAAATTAGGGTCATTGACACCCCAGATTTCTTTGACGAAGACCTAAAAAAACAACAAGAACAGATAAAGAAGTGCAAAGAGCTCACTCAGCCAGGGCCTGACGTGTATTTACTGGTCATGGAGCTTGGCCGTTACACAGATGGAGAGAGAGCAATAGTTCAGAACATACAGAGAGCGTTTGGTGCAGAAGTGGTAAAAGAAACCATCGTTCTGTTCACTAGCAAGGAGAAATTACGAGGGAAAACTGTAGCAGAGTACATTAAAAACACTGACACACAACTGCAAGAGCTGATCAGAACCTGTGGCTCAAGGTGTCATGCATTTAACAACAACGACCACAATGTTTCACAGGCTGAGAGACTGTTAGAGATGATTTTGGAAACGAAGAAGAAAAATGGAAGTACTGACATTGTAGAACACTACTCATTTTGTAAGGAGTCAGAGAAAAAAGACTGCAGAATTCAGTAGACACTTGCAAACGATTCCTGTGGTAATTCTTCAAAACTGATTTACTGTCTTATGTTCTGAGATTGTAGTTTGATTTAAAAACATTAGTTCATTTTTGCTAGAATCAAATAATATACAGTACATCAGTGTTATGCTGCATGTATTACAAGTACAAATAAAGAGAAGTATATTCTTCAAAAAGCCTATTCATGCACTACAGTTTCTTTTGTCAGATAGAAACAACTAGGTCAAACAATTGAAACAGTGAAATATCTGGACCCTGAAACTCAGTACTATGAATGGCATAGAAAAAATGTTATCATTTGCACACCAAAACACCATTTTCATGTGCTAGTCAGAGGTAAAATATTTAAAGAATGTGGTCCCACAAGTCTGCATACATGTTTGTGATGTTTCAAGCTACAAAGTTTTTTTCCTTTTAAGATGACGGCAAGAGAATGCAAACTGGTTATCTCTGCCTATAATTAATGTTCCTTCTGCGAAAATACAGTTTCTTCCTTGTAAGAAAGAAGCTGAAGAATTTCTTCCTTCTAAAAAAACATCCTGCATATCTGATCAACAGAGAAGACATACAGGTGTACTGTTTCCTTATTGTTGTTAAGCTTAGCAGAGTTCACATTATTTGAAGAAAATGTCTTCTTGTATTCTTGTATATATGAGGACTTTCCATAAACTGGGATTTTAAAGGGATAGTTCACCCAGAAAGAAAACATTGTCATCGTTTACTCACCCTCAAGTTGTTCCAAACCTGTATGAGATTCTTTATTGTGCTGAAAGCAGAAGAAGATATTTTGAAGAACGTGGGTAACTGAAAAGTTGATGCTACATAAATACTATAGAAGTCCAATTAAATTAAATTACATAAATACTATAGAAGTCAATGTCATCAAATGTTTGGTTTCCCACAATCTTCAAAATATCTTCTTTTGTGCTTTCTTGTAAATTTCTCATTATGCTATATCATTACTAAATATTTAATTTATCCCAAATTATCCATTAATAATGTTGTTCACTCAAATTGATGTGAGGTGAATAAGCTCAGATTAATGAGGCCTACAATCAACCAGTTACATAAAGAAATACAAAACTTGTGCTAACTGAAAGAAAAGAGACTGAATTCAAGATTTGGTCATAACATAGCATAATATGACATTTACAAGCCCAATTCCAGAAATGTTGGGACATTTTGTGAAATGCCATAAAATCAAGAATATGTTATTTGTTCATTCTCTTTAAACTTTATTTAATTGACTAAAGTACAAAGAAAAATGTCCAATGTTTGCACTGACCAACTTAATTTTATTTTGAAAATATAAACTAATTTTGATGGCTGCATCACACTCCAAAAAAGTTGGGACAGAGACATGTTTAACACTGTGTCACATCAACTTGCCTTTTAATTAAAATGTTTAACTGTTTGGGAATTGAGGATACTAATTGCTAAAGTTTTGCAAGCCAAATTTTGTCCAATCTCGCTTGATACAAGACTTCAGATGCTCAGCAGTCTGAGATCGCCGTTGTCTGATTCTCCTTTTCATGAATGGTCATACATTTTCAACAGGAGACAGATCTGGATTGATCAAGCACGAAACCACGCTGTTGTAGCACATGAATGAGACCTGGCATTGTCTTGATCTAATAACCATGGACTTCCCATGAAAGATGTCATCTTGATGACAGTATATGTCTCTGTACAATTCCAATCCATTATATGCATCCATGTAAATGGTATCTTCGCACATATGCCAGTCACCCATGCTGTTGCTCTGCTGCAGCCCCATACCATGACAGACGTTTGCTTTTGCATCTGTCGCTGATGAAAGTCTTTGGTCTTTGGGACTGAGAATACTATGTCCATTTTAGTACTCCTGAGCCCATGTGGCTATATTTAACACAGCAGCATGACTGGTTTCTTATGCAGTGCCATCTGAGGGCTCAAAGGTCATGCACATAGCAAATGAGGTTTCCTGCCTTGCCCTACACAGAATGAGATTTCATTGGATTCCCTGAATCTTTTCACAATTTTATGTATGGTAATTGGTGAAAGACTTTTGACACTTCTCTCATGAAATTTGGCACAAAGTGATGAGCCATGATCCAGCTTTGCTTGCAAAGACTGAGATGCTTCTTTTATACCCAAACATGATACCCTCACCTATTACCAAGTCACCTGCTTACTGAACTGTTTCAAAACAGTTTAATTTTGATATTCAATAACCTTTTCACTTTTATTTTGCCTGTCCCAACTTTTTTGGAGTGTGTTGCAGCCTTCAAAATCAAAATTCGTCTTTTACAAAATAATTTAGGTTGGTCAGTGAAATCTTTTCTTTGTACTTTTTTAATAAAAGTTAAAGAGAATTAACAAATCACAGATTCTTGATTTTATTGCATTTTACAAAATGTCCCCACTTTTCTGGAATTGGGGTTGTACAAGCAATTTTAAAAGGCCAGTCATTTTTGCCCGGGAACACCAAATTAGGTAAAGGATTTACAGCACAACACAAAGGTTAAAAACATGTTTTCTAAGAACTAACAGGAAATTCCAGCCAGGTGGAACTCAAAAGGTCAAATGTGTTCATGTTGCTCAAATAGTAAAGCAAATGTGTGAACTGATAAAATATATCTTGAATAAAAAACACCTTGAATGCAAATTAAGCTGCATAAAAAGGTGTGGCAAATGCATAAATGTACAAATGCAATTTTTTTTCTACCCAGTCAAATGCCAAAAAATTCTTAGATATATATATTTTTTTAATGGTCAAAAAGGGATGTGCTATGCAAAAATAATAATAATGTTGGAAAATAAAGGAAAAATTAAAATAATGTATTAATATGCCAAATTCTAATACATTATATATAAACACATCCAGAGCTTTCACAGTATAAACATTTTACTTGTATTTAACACTTTTACAATTTTACAGAGGATAACTGATTCTTAGCATATCTTAAAAGACAAAGGAAAAACTACTGTTTATCCCACTGTTCTCAATGTCTTAAAATGAATATGCAAATGTTATACATTATTATTCAGATTACTCTTAAGAAATTTAATCTTCAGGAAGAAAGAATTGTAAAGACAGTGGTATATTAATGTCAACCTTTATAAAGACACTTTTCTTTCATGATTTTGATGTAAGTAATTACAGTACATCAGGCATATAATTAACTGCTAATCTAATGTATACAATCACTATATATGTACAAATATTACACTTACTAGTGGAGTCCCTGCTTGAATTGGATTGATTGGTAATATCTGCTGTATCGGGTTAAAAAGTCTTAAAACTTAGTATTTAAATCAAAGGTACATATCATGAACGTGTTAGTATAAATAAAGTCTCTAAAAACAATTCAGAAACCAAAAAGTGCTATAGAATACAGTGCCTTCATATTAGATTCACAAGCTTCCATGTGTAATTATTCATTATGCTATGTGCTGCAGAGTCGAATAACATCATATTCCACAACTGTGTAACATCACATAAATGAGCTGTGTTTATGTTCAGAAGTAGTTTTCATATTACACATCTTTCTAAGATGTCTGATTTAAGTCTCTTTAGTAACCGTAAATGCTGCTATCAAGACTGAACTGTTCGCGAATGCCTTCCATCAATACTTGTTGGAACAAAGCAACTCTGTCGTCAAGAATCCCAAGAAAGCTAAACTGATATTCCAGTAGCTCTGCGGCCACTCTCTCCACATTCTGTTGCTGAATCTTTTCTTCCGCTTCTTGAAACATTTCCTGAGTGAAGCATTCTCCCCCATTTACTGCCACCATTTCATCAATTTTCACAATTAATCTACTCACTTGAGCTCGATTATTCCTGCCAGTGTTATTAAAAACAACATATCTACTACCACAACTCTGGATGACTTTACGGAGTTCTGCATGGCCGTTTTTCACATAGTCTTCAATTGTTTGGCCATTGAGTGCATCTCCATGAGTGAAGACCACTATCATGTATTTTGAAGCTTCTTGTCCGAAGAGCTCTTGCAGGGCCTGGACTGATCTTTGCTCCTCTGTAGTGAAACGGCCAATCTGTAGCACCAGCAGGAACACATGAGGACCTGGTGCAGAAACCTGAATACATCTCACTATTTCTCTTTTGATGAGGTCTTTTGATTTGCTGGTATCCAAGATTCCAGGTGTGTCAATCACATAAATCTCTCTTTGGTCACAGACCATTGCTTTTTTGCACCGCTCAGTGACAGAGTTTGCAGAAGGGCTTGATTCAAAAACATTTCTACAAAGGATAGTGTTTCCCACAGCACTTTTTCCCACTCCAGTTTTCCCAATCAATACTATGCGAAGTGCTGGACCTATCAACACAGCAAAGGATGAAAAAAAAAAAAGATAATGAAACATGTACAGACAAAATCAACTGCCTTGGATGGATTGTATAAAACGGAGTTTTGCGTTTTAAGCCTGGCCCATGATATTGTATCATATTAATATACATATATGCTTTATGATGCAAATCCATAATTTTTTTTGATGTACATCAAAAGTATATGAGTCATATACTCATCACAAATTAATACTCATTAATAAACCCCTCCAACTGTATTAATAAGTCATATATTACACTTATCTGTCCTTTAGCTTTGAAGTTAAATTATTGTATTTTGAATGCACATTTTATGTTTTTACAAAAATTACTCAAACAATAATTGACAGATTCCTTGTTTGCTTTCACAGAATATTTGACAATAGACTTTAGACATTAGACACTTTCCATTTACTCACAAAGTTCTAAACTATTTAAACATGATAAATGTTTGAGCAGTTTTGAGCTTTCAGCAGTTTACTAGAAACCATACTATACATTCAAGTAAAAAGTTTTACTTCCACAACTTACGTCGTGGAATATTAGAGCGGCAACAACACCGGCACTTAGAACAGTCCATTTCCTTCAGCAACAGTTTCTCTCGTCAACGATTGAAACTGTTTTCTGCGTGTCCCTATTAGTACCAGTTTTTCTTGTGACGCCACCAGTTTATTTATTTTTTTTTGTTGCATATATCTAGCTTTTACTTTCGTTTGATCACTATTTTCCTGCTTCGCCTCATGACAGATATAACCACAGGTGTTTCTCGCAACCTGGAGAACAGACTGGAAATTCAACATGCCAAAAGGTAAAACATAGTTGTTAGTTTGAGAGTTTTTGATCGGCTTTTTAAAGATTTTGCTCTTTTGCTAATTTTCTTTATATTCTCTGCCACTTTTGATATGTTTACTTCAAAATTGTCTATTGCATTTAATTGTGAGAAAACCATTTTCAATCTTCATAGGAGAAAATAAAACTGCACAAGTTTCAGACGATGACACTGTTGTCACCGTGGTGCTGCTGGGACAAAACAGCGCTGATAAGTGCCTGATAGGAAACACCATGCTTGGGTATAACTGCTTCCAGCCAGGAAAGTCCATGTATCAGAAGGCTCTAGGAAGAATGAGGGACGAGCTGCTCTACATTATAAACACCCCAGACCTTTTCTGGAGAATATGCCAAGAACCAGAAGCTAATGCTATAGAGGAGATGAAGCCATCATACACGGGTCCACGCATGTTCCTCCTGGTTCTCCACGATAAACAGCTGTCCCAGGAAGAGGTGGAGATGTTTACCCAAATGAAGGAGAGATTTGGAGAGAAAATGACAAAAAATATTACTGTAGTGTTGATCGACAACAAAGAGACATCAAGACAGTCCTGCAACATAGTGGATATAAATCTAAAAAAGATTGTACATGAATGTGACGAGAGAATTTGCGTCTTCAGCAAAGATACAGCAGACTCAGATCTGGTCAGACAGCTTCTGATACATATTACGAAAACGCCAGAGAAAGTAGAAGCTGATCCTGGCAGGTAAACTTCTACAAATTAGAAACATTTGGTATTGTCTCTTGCATTTTTCACAAAGCTTATTTTTATCTTTTTCCCTAAAGTTCATCATTATCCTGTAGATTACATGAAGACATGAATAAGTATGTTCATCAGAAGGAAAAAGATGACTCAGAACAACCAAAGACAATGCCAGGTAATGCTTACTTATGTTAAATTATATGAAATTATTAATATTCTAGTCCAACTCCAAATGCTGCGCTGAAAATGTTTTTTAATGAAAGCAAACTTACGTTCAAAAGTTTGGGGTCAGTACGTTTTATTTATTTTTATTTTTCTAATTAATATTTTTTTATTCAGCAATGCTGTATTAAAATTATAATCACATTGATCCAAAATTCAGAGTAAAGACTTTTACAGATTTCAATTTCAAATAAATGCTGTTAGTTTGAACTTTCTATTGATCAAACAAACTTGAAAAAAAAAAAAGTATCACAGTTTCCTCAAAAATATTAAGCAGCACTGTTAAGCACAACTATTTTGAACATTGATCATTAAAAAAAAATAAATAGAATAATGTTAGGATCATGTGACAAAATTCAGCTTTGCCATCACATGAATAGATTCCATTTTAAAATATTCTGAAATAGAAAATTGTAATATTTCACAATACTGCTGGTTTTATTTTATAGTTGATCAAATAAATGCAGTCTTGGTGAGCATAAGAGACTTCTTTCAAAAAAACAATTAAAATTATTCATTCTAATTTTTTTATTATTTATAAGGGGAGGATGTGAATGTCAAGTCACTTGGAGGTGACTGCAATATCATCACCATGGTGCTCCTGGGAGTGAACAGCGATGACAAGTGCCTGATAGGGAACAGTATTCTCCAGCATGATTGTTTCATGGCTGGAAAAGCCACATGTGAGAGGGTTGTGGCTAGAGTAGCTGATCAGATGGTCTGTATTGTCAACACTCCTGACCTTTTCTATAAACCAAGCCCAGATCCAGTAGCTGACAGTATGGAGGAGATGAAGCCATCATACACGGGTCCACGTATGTTCATCATGGTACTGCAGGACAAAACTCTCTCACAGGAAGAGATGGAGATGTTCGCCCAACTGAAGGAGAGATTTGGAAAGAAACAGCTTGAAAACATGCTTGTTGTGCTCATAGGTAACGAAGAAAATAACTTAAGAGAGACCTTTGAAGCTGATAAGACCCTCAAAAAGATTCTAGATGAGTGTAAGGAGACGGTTTATGTTTACAGGAGTAATGTGAAAAGCACTGAGCTGGTCGGACAGCTTATAGGACAAAAGAACATGCAAGCAGGAATCTGAGAAAAACTGAATATACCAGTTAGAAATCAGCTCAGTCCATCTAATATGTTCTGTGTGATTGATATTGTGCCATAAAACAGATTTTACTAAATACAAAAGAAGAGTTGTAATCCTACAGTGTAATGTCTATGTGTAACCAAAAGATGCAATAAACATATGCAACACAACCGCCAACAATTCCTACAATACAATCTCACTACCATCACAAATCTGAAATCAATCACTGTTCAAACACAGTTTCCAGTAACAGACTGTAATAGACGGAAACTGGAGTTGGAAGTTGTTATTTGCTAAAAACTGCCAAAAGCTATTTTCACTAACTCCACCCACCATTGCTTGGATATTTTACCTTTAGTACAAATAACATAAATGTTAATAATGTTAATCACAAATGTTTCCTTTGGCCACTCTTACTCATTTTCCACAGATAATCAAAGCCCAACTAAATTATACAAATTATTTTAGATTACTGCGTTAAGACAAACATTTTTGCAAAACATGCAATGAAGAAATAAAGCCAAGTACAGCTGTTATCTAGCATACTAGTGACTCAACGTGTTATACCAGATTTTGGACATGCCCTTTATTCTCATGCATTTAAGACAAGTGTATTTTTCACTTTCATCTACTTACAACTGTCATTGAGTGCTAGAGACACGTTCGACTCTTACTCTGCACATCATTTGTTTCTTGTAATACAAGTCAGCATGTTACAATGTAAGTAAGCCTTTTCTTCGATACATTTGAGTGAATTTAGTAATTGTAAAAATTCAGTGTTTTGACTTAGGTGCAATAATGGCGTCAATCTAATACTCGAGCTCAATTCCAACTCTATTCTTGTAAAATTAAATCACAAGAGTACTGAAAGGGATTTTTGGATTAGATCAGGGTTGTGGATTAAAGTTTCAATTTAGCATAATACAAAATCCAGTTTTCTCTTGACAAGATTTCAAAAGCTATGAATTATTCTTGTGATTTGTTATAGTGGAGAATGCAAAGGTGGAGCAATCTGGTGGAGGTGACAAGATCACTTTGGTGCTGCTGGGAAAGAACAGCAATGATAAGTCTATGATAGGGAATACCATATTAAAGGCAAACCGTTTCATAGCTAGTAACAACACATGTACAAGAGCTGAAGAAAGAGTAGATGATCAGATGGTCTGTATCATCAACACTCCAGACCTTTTCCACAGGCCGCAGCCAGATAGAGAAACAGAGGAGAATATAGAGGAGATAAAAGTCCTATATCCAGGGCCACGTTTGTTTCTTCTGGTTCTGCAGAACAAACAGCTCTCACAGGAAGAGATGGAAATGTTCAGCCAGCTGAAAGCGAGATTTGGTGAGAAAATGGTGGAAAATACAATTGTAGTGCTAGTTAACAGTCAGGAGAAAAAATCGGAAGAACCATATTACCACGCGGATGAGAATCTCAAAAAACTACTAGATGAGTGTGGACGGAGAATGTGTCTTCATGACAAGAAAAATGATAACGAGCTGACCAATCTGGTAGTGAAAGAATGGAAGAGAATACATGAAATGCAGGTTAAAGAATCAAGCAACTCCGCAGCTGCTGAGAGGTAAGACACACGTATGACAGCAGTGATTAAATCAATTAAAAAATAAAAGTCTCTGTACATAACTATAAATCCCTTTAGGCCTATAATTTAACCTGTAATATCATCTTAATCCTGTAGGATATATGAGGACATTGATGCGTATGTACAAATGAAGCAAACAAATGAAGCGTCATGGGTGTCTGAAAACAGCAAAGGTATATCTTATAAATTTCTCAACTTACTTTTCTCTGTCATCTAAAAGAATCATCATCATCAACATGCTGTTTTTTTCTTATGTGCGTTTCACATCAACCTATCAAGTGATCTCAATACACGTGATTAAAGTTTTACTTTTTTTACTTTTTATTATTTTTCATTCAATTTGTAAGCAGTAATGCTTATTTCCTATTTAACACATATTTACCACAAACAGCATAATGATTAAGGATATGTGCTGTTCACAAAAGTTACAGTTGACTACAATTTACCAAAAGTACAAGATCATGATGAAACGTCTCTGATAAATCAATGGTTATCAGGTGATATGTTCTGATAGGGTTGCAGACAGCTGAGGGACAAAAACATGCTAAATGCGAATAATGATAATGCAAGTCATGTACAGTAACATATGAAAGCGACATAAATGCTATCAAAGAGTGCGTGTTCAACAATTTGGGATACATCAACATCTTGGTGATATCCCCTCATCATCGAAACTATATGAAAATATGACCTGATTACATTCAATAGAAATTATGGACTTGGTATTGTGTTGGATCACCACTTGATGTCCAATGTGAAATCTGCAACTTTCAGCAAAACCAGGTGAAAACAACCATGTTAAATTACCAGTAATATTGTCCTACCAAGTTTGCCGCACACATCCTGAAAAGTTAAGACAAAACATTTTGATAGCCATCTGATAGCTGGCTGCAGTATAGGTCATTAACCCTGCCCTCTCCATGTAAACGAATGGGACATAAGCCAAACTAAAAAAAATCTAATTACACTTTGAATAATTTTTTCCCAAAGATGGTTTCCATCATTTTAGGTAGTTCTTATCACGCTGATGTATGGTCAAGTGTTCATTTTTCTAATAAGTTTGCTTTTAATTAGTTATTTGAAGCTATAAAAAGAGGTGTGGGGTCTAGATTGTGAGCTTGCAGTTGGGTCTGCAGAAGTTTGGGGGGACTCGGGCTCCAAAAGACGTCACTGGCGCAAGATGACAGTTTTCTGTAGTGGAAGGAAGTGGAGACGTGTCGTCCATCTTTTTTATAGTCTATGTGTCCTACATTATTTTAAAAACAATTACATTCTGCATTCAAATTGTGAAGTATGTTTTTTCAAAGATTTGTTCGAATTTATCACAGAAAAGAGCGTTCAGACGTCTAGAAGTAAGGACATGATGACAGTGGTCCTGCTGGGGAAGATAAGCAACAACAAGTGTCTCGTAGGGAACGCAATTTTTCAAAAAGATCATTTCCGATCAGAGAGGGTCCGCTGTGAGAAGATCGTGGATAATGTTGGTGGTGAGAAGGTCTGTATTATCAACACTCCAGACCTTTTTCATAAACCAAGCTCATCAGATCCAGAAGCTGACCGAATGGACGAGCTGAAGCCATCGTACGCAGGTCCACGTGTGTTCCTCCTTGTACTCCAGGACAGAATGGTGTCACCAGAAGAGATGGAGATGTTTACTGATGTAAAGAAGAAGCTTGGACAGAAAATGGTTGAACAAACAATTGTGCTGGTTAACGGTGATAAAAAGGTATCTTCAGCTTCAATGGACACACCATTGTCATTCAAAAAAGGCAACGACATAATCCTGAATGAGTGTGGAAGCAGACTGTGTGTTTACAGCAAACACATGAAGAATACTGAACTAATCAAAGAACTGATGAAATACAAAGAAAGCATGAAGAACCAAACATCAGAAACTACAAGAGTAAGGTAGGCAATATATAGTTATGAGCAGTAGGAAATAGGAATTTAATTAATTTACATATAACCCTATATTAATCTCTCTTTCAATTCCAGAGGGATGCATCTCAATAAGGTGATGCAAACACCAAATAAAACAGGTGAGTTCAATCAGTCAACTAGAAAACATTTTAAAATAACATGTCACCTATATACTGTACATACCAGCATATAATAACAGTTTGGTACCTTTGCACTGAAACTGTTAGCATGGACTGTATCATCTAACTAATTCTAACTATACAACATCAGTTAAGGTGGATCAGCCAAAACCTTTGACCATCGTGCTGCTGGGACAGACAGGATGTGGGAAGAGTGCTACAGGAAATACAATCTTAAAAAAGCACCATTTTGAATCACATGCCAGTTCTGTGCCAGTAACAAAGGAGTGCCAGATGGCAGAGGACACTGTTCATGAAATGAGGATTAGGGTTATAGACACTCCAGATTTCTTTAATGAAGACCTTAAAAACCAGGAAGAACAGATAAAGAAGTGCAAAGAGCTCGCTCAGCCAGGGCCTGATGTGTATTTGCTGGTCATGCAGCTTGGCCGTTTCACAGAGGGCGAGAGAGAGGTTCTCCCACATCTGAAGAGAGAGTTTGGCGAGGATGTGACTTTAAAGACTCTAATTCTTTTCACGGGTAAAGAGAAGCTGAAGAACAGGACTTTAACTGATTACATCAATGGTAGCGACACAGAACTTCAGGAACTGATCAAAACCTGTCATTCAAGATGTCGCGCATTTAACAACAACAATGAGAAATCCAGTCATCAGGTGAAAAAACTTCTGGATCTCATTTCTGACATGCAGGAAAATAGTGCCATAGCAAGCCATCACGGTCATAGAAAGAAGCATAAGGAGAACAAAGAATGCAGTATCTTGTAAGTTTAAGTGTGTGTATGTGCACAACTATAATTGGAGAACCTTTTCTAAAAATGCATAAGTTTTATTATGGTTAATCTACAGTTGGTATAATTGTGTAAGGTGTAATATTAGGGACTGTTAGAAGCATATTTAATTGTACCTTTATTTACTGTGAACTACTAAAAATGTCTTGGATAGTGGATATGTAATGGTGATTATACTGAAAAGAAAGTGAAATATTTAAATAAATAATAAAAAACCCACACATGAGTCCATAGTTTCATCATTTAATTAAAAATACACGTGATAAAAAAAAAAATCTCCATACCTATGCAATGACTCTTTCAGGAATCTTCAAAACATCAAATATCCAAGCCAGCAGGCCTGCAACCACGAAACCGCCAAAAACAAAAAAAACGTACCACGTGTTTGCTACGCTAGTTTCATAGCGCCGTGTAGTTTTTTCACACCCACATAGCTGTGATGACGCCGATTCAAAAAGTAACAAGTGATCGACTCATAAATAACGAATCGATTCTTTAAAAACTGATTCAGCGTGAATGCCCAGTGAAGTCCCAAATAATAAGTGTAGGCCCATATTGTCACTTTCATTACGTTTTATTAATAAGGCCATCTGTTGTAATTTCGGTGCAATCCAAAATGTTTTTACTTTCATACGTTCATGGATCATTACGAATCGGACAATATTCAATAAGCCTGAGAGTTGACTCGAGAACCGCCCTTACCGAATCATGATGTTTCAGGATTGCGTTTTTCAAAAGTACAGGTGCATCTCAATAAATTAGAATGTCGTGGAAAACATTCTAATTTATTGAGATGCACCTGTATTATAAGCCTAAGTAGATCCAAAAAACCATTGGCCTCTCTCCCAGATCGCTTTTGAGAACTGGTTCAATAGATTCACTGAAAGATTGGACTCAAATCAATTTCTTGAGCTTCATCCAAACGCAGTGTCTATATTGTCTTACGAATGGAAATGTTTCTCTTGAATGCTATTTCTGAGAGTTACTTAAGAGAAAGGACTAATTTTCCGTTTTACAAAACATAAGTCAAAAATATTCTGTAAAGACAATTGTGCAAACATGAAACTAGTATTTTTTTTCTTTTTAATTGCAAATCTGGCTCCCTCTAGTGGCCAAATTAAGTTTACATTGTTCCAAACAGAATTCTCAACACTTTATTACATTTTAAGTTTTATAAGTGACGTGACATGTGGCCAAGTATGGCTACCCATACTCAGAATTAGTGCTCTGCATTTATCCCCTCCTAAGTGCACACACACAGCAGTGAACACACACCCGGAGCAGTGGGCAGCCATTTTTGCTGCGGCGCCCGGGGAGCAGTTGGGGGTTAGGTGCCTTGGTCAAGGGCACCTCAGTCGTGGTATTGAAGGTGGGAGAGAGCGCTGTACATTCACTCCCCCCACCTACAATCCCTGCCGGACC